AGGATGGTGGGTCACTTCCTTAATAGAAGGCCAGATTTTTATTCCTTGACGTGAGATGTTCCTGGATAGGGGGTAGAGATTCTGAAGACCCCTAAAATCTCATCAGCTTTTGGAAGAAGATATAGAGAAGTAATGGAAACCCATATGGTGATTTGGATTTAAGTCTTGGTTCTGCTGTGACCGTTGGCAAGTCACTTAAACCCTCTGTGTCTTGATTTTCTCAGCTGCAAAACTGGAATGCTGATAATAACTATCTCATTTGGTTGTTGTGACAATCAAATGAGGAAGTGGATGTGAAAACCCTTTGTAAGTTATAAAGTTCAATACAATATGTTAATATTACCTTGAGCTTGCACCACCTACAGAGGCAGGTCCTTATCTTTTAAAATATTGAGTTCCTCAATATTTATATTTCTATCCTTCCAGGGACAATCAATATCTGCTGATATGAAGGAGCAGTGTCTGGCCATGAAAAAAAAAATGTTTTTATTCAGAGGATACAAAGATTCCCAAAAGAATGATGACTCTCTGAGAGGATATGCCAGAATTTCTGGTGGAGGAGAGAAGTGAGGTTTTTTTGTTTGTTTGTTTTGTTTTTGGGGATGGAGACTCGCTCTGTCACCCAGGCTGGAGTTCACGGTTGCAATCTCAGCTCACTGCAACCTCTGCCTCCCAGGTTCAAGCGATTCTCCTGCCTCAGCCTCCCGAGTAGCTGGGATCACAGGGGTGCACCACCACATCCGGCTAATTTTTGTATTTTCAGTAGAGACAGGGTTTCACCATGTTGGCCAGGCTGGTCTCGAACTCCTGACCTCAGGTGATCCACCTGCCTTGGCCTCCCAAAGTGCTGGGATTACAGGCGTGAGCCACTGTGCCTGGTCGAGAAGTGAGATTTTTATATTTATCAAAAGAAGTCTTGGTTTAAAAAAGAAAAGCCTGAGAAACATAGTTTTAAAACCAGAAGACTCCAGATTCTCTCTTTCACTTGTTATGTGACCCTGGTCAAGTCTCTGCCTTTTTAATAGGCCTGTTTCCTCATCTAAAAAATTCAGGGCTAATATTGAGTGAGTTAGACTCACAGACTCTAATTTGTTAAAATATTTCTTGTAGCAACTCATAATGCTGGGAGGTAAAATCAAGTATAAAAGAAAAAGGGGGGCAGGCATGGTGGCTCATGCCTGTAATCCCAGCACTTTGGGAGGCCAAAGCGGGCAGATCATGAGGTCAATAGATCGAGACCATCCTGGCCAACATGATGAAACCCCGTCTCTACTAAAAAGACAAAAATTAGCTAGGCGTGGTGGCGCACGCTTGTAGTCCCAGCTACTCAGGAGGCTGAGGCAGGAGAATCGCTTAAACCAAGGAGGCAGAGGTTGCAGTGAGGTAGGATCACACCACTGCACTCCAGCCTGACCACAGAGTGAGACTCCATCTCAAAAAAAAAAAAAAAAAAAAAAAAGAAAAGAAAAAAAAAAGAAAAAACAAAAGAAAAAGAGTTGTACATAAAATGAAGACATAAAAAGTTATGTGCCTGACTGGGCGCAATGGCTCACGCCTGTAATCCCAGCACTTTGGGAGGCCGAGGCAGGCAGATCACTTGAGGTTAGGGGTTTGAAACTAGCCCGGCCAACATGGTGAAACCCCGCCTCCACTAAAAATACAAAAATTAACCAGGCATGGTGCCACTGCACTTCAGCCTGGGTGACAGAGGGAGACTCTCTCTCAAAAAAAAAAAAAAAAAACTTATGTGCCTTCAGCTATGTAGTTCACGAAAAGTAAATAACTCAAGGAGTTAACTCCTCCAGTGAAAACTATTTGAGCTGGAAAACTGCACTTGACTTTCTTTTTAAAGCATCATTAACCTGTCAGAAAACAGCTGAAAGTAGGTGTGATGTGGAAGGGCTGAGGTGACCACAAGTATTTGCCATCACTTTCCTGGTGAAGGATCCATTTTCTCACAGGTATAATCTCAGATGGCTCTGGGTTTTTTGTTTGTTTGTTTTTGAGATGGAGTCTCGCTCTGTTGCCCAGGCTGGAGTGCAATGGCGTGATATCGGCTCACTGCAACCTCCACCTCCTGGGTTCAAGCAATTCTCCCACCTCAGCCTCCTGAGTAGCTGGGATTACAGGAGTACGCCACCACGCCCAGCTAATTTTTGTATTTTTAGTAGAGATGGGGTTTCACCATGTTGGTCAGGCTGGTCTCAAACTCCTGACCTTGTGATCCACCCACCTTGGCCTCCCAAAGTGCTGGGATTACAGGTGTGAGCCACCGCGCCCAGCCGACTCTGTGCTTTTGAACTCATAACTTGAGAGGATGGCCTGATAGGAACCTGACCAGAGGGTATCTATGCAGTGCCAAGTGAGAGAGAAGTCCATTGAGCTTCTGGAGCCCCAGCACTGTTTGCTCAGACCCCAAGTTCTGCTCCATCTCATAGCTAGTCTGCCACACCATGCAGCAAGGACACTGTTCCAACTTGTGAAATTCAGGTCAGAGAACATACACTTGTAAAACAGAACATGCTCCTTTGCCACACAGCCAAGTGGTTCCTAAAGAATGATCTTTGCCGGGCGCGGTGGCTCAAGCCTGTAATCCCAGCACTTTGGGAGGCCGAGACGGGCGGATCACGAGGTCAGGAGATCGAGACCATCCTGGCTAACACGGTGAAACCCCGTCTCTACTTAAAAAAATACAAAAAACTAGCCGGGCGAGGCGGCAGGCGCCTGTAGTCCCAGCTACTTGGGAGGCTGAGGCAGGAGAATGGCGTGAACCCAGGAGGCGGAGCTTGCAGTGAGCCCAGATCGTGCCACTGCACTCCAGCCTGGGTGACAGAGCGAGACTGTCTCAAAAAAAAAAAAAAAAAAAAAAAGAATGATCTTTAACATCTGAACCATTTCTAACATGGATGTTATTTTATTTAAACTTGACCCCCCCCATGCTCAAATACCACTTGGGAAGTCTTGGTTTATCTCCATGGTACAAGTTCTCTGGTCTAAATACCACTACAAGATTTACAACATCAAAGAGCCTAGCACAAAGTTAGTGTCATGCTTATTGGGTGCTGATCCCAATATTTTATCGGTAAATTCTGACCTGCAGAGCATAGTTTTAGAGGAATGCATTGAAACTACCAAATTTCTGCTGCCTGTGTGATAAAACCATCACCAGCCTCATACCAAAGCTACATAACCTTTGTTCACATTGCTGAGGAAAAGTTAAACTAAGTTGTGTACAGCTCCCTCTGTTTTGTACTTTCTAGGGCAAAGTCTATACTCTGCTCATCAGGCAACCTCTGGGAATTCTTTTTGGGACACTCAAAAAGTTGAATTAATCATTGTTTACATTTGTAGAACTTATGTCTATTAACAATCACTTCTTTGTCCATTGTAATTTGCTTGCTTATGTATTGGATTTTATTTTATTTATTTTTTGAGACAAGAGTCTCACTTTGTCACCCAGGCTGGAGTACAGTGGTGTAATCTCGACTCACTGCAACCTCCGCCTCCTGGGTTCAAGCGATTCTCCTGCCTTAGCCTCCCAAGTAGCTGGGATTACAGGCACACACCACCATGCTCTGCTAATTTTTGTATTTTTAGTAGAGACAGGGTTTCACCATGTTGGCCAGGCTGGTGGGCCAACTCCTGACCTTAGATTACTTGCCCACCTCAGCCTCCGAAAGTGCTGGGATTACAGACGTGAGCCACCACACCCAGCCATGTGTTGTATTTCATGAAGACACCATCCCATGATTCTGCTAAGCAAACGTATTGCTGGAAGATAAGTACTTAATCAAGTATTTACTGAATTTCTACTATGGATTCTGCCCGTGTGTGTGTGTGTGTGTGTGTGTGTGTGTGTATTGTTTTATTTATTATTTTTTTTGGAGACAGAGTCTCCCTTTGTCGCCCAGGCTGGAGTGCAGTGGCGCAATCTCGGATCACTGCAACCTCCGCCTCCCGGGTTCAAGTGATTCTCCTGCCTCAACCTCCTGAGTAGCTGGGATTACAGGCACCCACCGCCACGCCCAGCTAATTTTTGTATTTTTAGTAGAGGCAAGCTGGTCTCAAACTGCCTGACCTCAAGTGATCTACCCACTTCGGCCTCCCAAAGTGCTAGGATTACAGGCGTGAGCCACTGTGCCTGGCCCCAAGTATGTAATTAAGTACCTGCGTCAAAGAGCTCATAGTCCAATTGGGAATACAAGGCTAAACACACATCAACCTGTAAATAAAATTAAATATTCAATGATTCTGGAAATAACATAAGGATATGCTACACAACAACATAAGGATATTCCCATGTCATCATACTACCAGTATATTTTACTTACTATCTTATCTTTCTCCACTAGAATGGAAGCTCCACGAGAGGAGGAAAATTTTTTTTTTTTTGAGACGGAGTCTCGCTCTGTCCCCCAGGCTGGAGTGCAGTAGCCGGATCTCAGCTCACTGCAAGCTCCGCCTCCCAGGTTTACGCCATTCTCCTGCCTCAGCCTCCTGAGTAGCTGGGACTACAGGCACCCGCCACTTCGCCCGGCTAGTTTTTTGTATTTTTTAGTAGAGACGGGGTTTCACCGGATTAGGCAGGATGGTCTCGATCTCCTGACCTCGTGATCCGCCCGTCTCAGCCTCCCAAAGTGCTAGGATTACAGGCTTGAGCCACCGCGCCCGGCCCCCAAATTCATTTCTTTGCATATGAATATCCAGTTGTCTCAGCACCATTTGTTAAAAAGACTATTCTTTCTCTACTGAATTGTCTTGGCACCCTTGTCAAAAACCAATTGACTATAAATTTGAGAGTTTATTTCTGGACTCTTGGTGCTATTTTATTGATATATATGTTTACCCAGATGTCAGTACTACACTTTTTAATTATTGTAGCTTTGTAGTAAACCAAGAAAGTATGAGTCCTCCAACTTTGTTCTTTGTTTTCAAGATTGTTGGAACAGGATGGTCTCGATCTTCTGACCTTGTGATCCACCCGTCTCGGCCTCCCAAAGTGCTGGGATTACAGGCTTGAGCCACCGCGCCGGCCTGAGGAGGAAAATTTTTTAAACTTAGTACTATTTCCCCAGGGTCTGGCATGTAACTAGTAGTTAATAAATATTTGTTGACTGAATGAATGCGAAGTCAATTATCTAGAATAGATAGGGAAAAGGAAGTCTTACTGGAGTGGTTCCCCTAGCCTGAGCCTTGATTTAGCAACACTCTTACTCAGCTTGCTTATAGCAATCTATAGGTTTTGGCGAACAATCTCTTCATTTTTATAATGAGAAGAAAATGCGACACAATTGAAAAAGAAGGTAGGGGCGGGATGAAAAGAATTTAAATTGGGTGTCAGAGGCCCTCAGTTCATTTATAAAAGGAAAGGTTTGTCCTTGACTCAATGAATTTCATACATTGTCTTAATGCAGAACTGTTTTCAAAAAAACCCCCAGTAATTAAATAGTTCAAGGCAGAGCTGCTCTGGTTGATTTTGGGGTGGCATGGTGGAGTTGGCAGGGAAGGTCCATCTACTTGGTTCCTTCACCTCTACTACAAAGCTATAGCTTCTGAGAAATTTTGCGAATATAGTTTGAAACACTGGATTGAGGGAATACTGGAGACTCTCCTCTCTCAGAATTCTATTAATGGACTCAGGGGAGGAAGACCAAAGTCTTGGTGAGGGAAGACGTGGGCTCTCTTCTAGTCTCTGCAACTATGGTGGCTCAAGACCATAGTGGTACTCCCTCACTATGCTGAGGGAGTACCAGGAGTCACCTATCCAAAGAGAGAGAAAAAATTGTGGCCTGGGCCAAGGCCAATGACCCTTCTCACAGCTAGACACAGGGACCTAGAAGCCACATTTCTCTGGACTGGATGGAGATTGATGAGGGCTCACTGACTTGTGTGACCTGGTCTTGCCTCTCCCTTTGCTGCCTCCCCATCCCCACCCGCAAAGCTCAGCAATAAAGGCACCTAAGCTCACTTGGCAATTTCTCTGGGGTTCAGAGTTAATAAGAATCTCATACACAATGTAAATACTCAGTCTGGCACCAACCCAGATGGGACAAGGGCGTGACTCACTTGTCACCAACCTCCATCCTGTGCAGCTGGTCCATCTGTTTAGCTGTGCAGAAGCAAGCCCTGCAAGAGGGCTCCAACAAAGTGTTGGGGTCCGCGTGTTTCCTAAACAAAGGAACCAAGACACAAGACAAGACAAACATGGCGGCCGCCTCGAATGGCGCACTCTGCTTTATTTTATACAGTCGTTTGTGGAATGTTGCCAAGTTACAAGACACATTGTTGTTTTTCTGACCTTTCCCAGACTTTCTGGATTTTCAAGATGTTTACACATAAACAAGCCCCCAGGGTCTGCTGTTTGCAGCTGGCTCCTTTGTCCTCCCTGTTTACAGGGAAGGAACGCCCTGCTTCATTTGCAAGAGCAGGACTTATCAGGAACACCCTGCTTCGTTTGCAAGAGCAGGACTTATTGGCAACGTCTGGTTTGCACATAGTCCCCTACACAAAGCCTAACAGAAAAGGGTTTAATGAAGGGAGTATTTACTAGCGTGTGTTCAGGTTTAAGAAAATTAGTCGTGTGTTCAGGTTTAAGAAAATCAGTCGGGCGTGGTGGTTTACGTCTGTAATCCCAGCACTTTGGGAGGGCAATGGGAGAGGATGACTTGAGCCCAGGAGTTCGAGACCAGCCTGGGCAACATAGGGAGACCTCATCTTTACTAAATAAGGAGGGAGGGAGGGAGGCAGGGAGGGAGACAACCCTCAAGACTGTAAAACACCCATGGACTACCAACAGCTGGAAGCTTTATCACCACGAGGCCTGAAAGAACAAGGAGAGGGAGCTGTTACCACCTAACAGTTGTTGCTTAGGTAACTAACTGACAATACCACCTCCACCTTACAAGTGATGAAACTAAGGAGAATGATAAGACGAGGAACACAGGATGTGGAATCCCGGGGGAAGAAACTTAGTCAATCTGAAGCATCTAGCGGCTACCAAGGTACTTTAGAGACTTCCCCCGTGGATGGTTAAGCTACCATCCTCACCTTGACCTTCCCTGCCGCCCACCGAAAGTGACCGGAAGAAGAGCTTGACTATGACGACTAGGGACTACAAGTCCCGGCATGCATCTCTCCGCGTCTATCTCAAAACCGTTCAACTTTAGGATAAAAGGGCTTTTGGCAACAATGCGCGTCGGGACCTGTAGTCGCCGCCGTTGGGTCTAGGCGCTTGCCGTAGGGCACTAATTGGCGCGCCCACGGTACCGCCCCCTCGCCTTCGCCTCACGTAGCTTCTCCAGCGCGCATACGCGGCGCGTACCCACGCCCTCCGCCCCCTCCCCGGGCCTACGGCGCAGGCGCGCGCAAGCTCCGCGGGCCCGGTAGGCTGGGGGTGGGGGGAGAAGGAGGGGAAGGGAAGGGGGGTTGGGTGTCTAGTCTGGTGAGTAGACGGCTGTGGGGCACAGAAGCGCGAAGGCCTGGCAGTCGGGCAGGTGAACTCTGCACGGGGTCTAGGGCCCGCGGAAGGGTTCGGAACCGAGTCAGCGCGCCTTGCGAGCAGGATTCGCGCAGCTGAGACCCGGAGGTCCTCAGGGGGCGAAGCCCCGGCCTAGGCCTCGCGGAAATGCCCAGCTGCGGTGCTTGTACTTGCGGCGCAGCTGCCGCCCGGCTCATCACGTCCTCACTCGCCTCCGCGCAGAGAGGTAACGAAATAGTGCCACTCCTGAGCTCTCAGCCAAGGGGGAGGGGGTGGACTGGCTGGTGGGTAGGGGTCCTGGGGAGGGCACGAGGCCTGCTGCACCCGGGGAGTGTGAGGGAATGGGCGGCACTTCGCCCGGCACCCACTGCTTTCCCCGTGGAATGGGGCTCTGCCGACCTCTGGAGCAGCCGTTGCTCAAATTGGAAGTAAACTCCTTCCCACGCGTCTTCTTGCGCGCTTTCAGGCCCGCTGACTTTGGGGCCGGAATGCGGCCACTTCGTAGAAACCCTGAAAGAGGCACAAAATGTTCCTCTTATTAAAAAATGCCTCCAGATCCCACTCAGCCCTGCCGGGGACCGCCGCCTGCCCCGGCCGCGGCTCTTCTTCCGCAGCCTGGCCGGGATCCCTCTCGGGCCCGTTGGGGGCTCCAGGAGGGGCTGTCCCTGCTAGGGTTCCCTAGGACTCAGGGCACCCAGCTGACCGTCCCGGACGCAAGCCGCGCGATACCAGAGATGTTACTATCACTGTGCGGCCCAGACACTGGGACATAAACAAGGTTCACAATATTTCCCGGCGTCAGGCAAGCCCCGGGGCACGCAGGACAGCGGCGGGGGAGATGGGGAGAGGTCCCGCAGGAGTTGGTTCGGAAGTCCTTGGGTGTTTCAGCAGTCCTTTGCTGGCTTTCCCAACTTGACCGGGAGGTTGTTTCCTAAGAGTGGCGCATGTTGTTTACCTTTCCTTTCTGTTTATCTGAAGCTGTGAAAGAATGGCGCCCCAGCCAAGAGAGTCTGGAAAATAAACTTTTTTTCTCTTCCTCAAATCTATGGATGTCAGATCACGAGGCTAGATCCTGTTATAATCACTGACTTCTAGACAAATTCTTTTTATTTGGACTTACCGGTTCATGACCCTTGGATGGATTTTTAAAAGGTCCCTTTTATCTAACTTTTAAACCAATTATAAAATCCCTATTGTTTACTAAATGTATCTTCTAGTTTCTTTACTACACAAGGAGGGATTGAATGAGGTAATGTGGGCAGAAGCATTTTGTAAAATGATACATAAATGTAAGAGAGTGAATTTAATCCTAAATCATTGTTAAGCCTCAACCAGTAGATGTCCCAATTCCAGGAATTCGATTTGCAAACACTTTAAAGTGTTTTTTTAATCCATTTATGTGACATACATTAATATTTGTCGAGGGCCCACTATGTGCCAGGTCTTTTAGTGCTGGAGGTAAGAGTGGAGAATAAGTCCTCACCCTCATGTTTAAATCTAGTGGAGTAGACAATAATACAGTTTACAGTGGTTGGATGAAGTATGTGTGTGTTCTCTTTGGGCAGGGACGGCTTCTTTGAAAGTGTTCTTGATCTGTTCTAGCCAAGAGTCCGTGAACACTTTTGAATCATAGGAGATAAGCAGTTATTTTTTTTTATTTTCAAAACGACTGGTTTCTTTCTTTTCTTCTTTTCTTTTCCTTCCCTCATCCCTGTCTTTCTTTCCGTCTTCTTTTTTTTTTTTTTTTTTTTTTTGAGACAGAGTCTCGCTCTGTCGCCCAGGCTGGAGTGCAGTGGCGCAATCTTGGCTCACTGCAAGCTCCACCTCCCGGGTTCACGCCATTCTCCTGCCTCAGCCTCCCGAGTAGCTGGGACTACAGGCGCCGGCCACCACGTCCGGCTAATTTTTTGTATTTTTAGTAGAGACGGGGTTTCTCCGTGTTAGCCAGGATGGTCTCGATCTCCTGACCTTGTGATCTGCCCGCCTCTGCCTCCCAAAGTGCTGGGATTACAGGCGTGAGCCACCGCCCCTGGCCTCTGTCTGTCTTGATGGAATCTGCTCTGTTACCCAGGCTGGAGTGCAGTAGCGTGATCTGGGCTCACTACAACCCTCGCCTCCTGGGTTCAAGTGGTTCTCCTGCCTCAGCCTCCCGAGTAAGCTGGGATTACAGGCGTGCACTACCACGCCCAACTAATTTTTATATTTTTAGTAGAGACGGGGTTTTGCCATGTTTGTCAGGCTGATCTCCAACTCCTGGACCGCAGGTGATCCACCTGCCTCGGCCTCCCAAAGTGCTGGGATTACAGGCGTGAGCCACTGCACCTGGACTAGTATTTCTTTTTAAAAACAGTTGTTCTGAAATTTAGAAAGCTTTGTCTGTATGATAAAGTTCTGTAAACAGTGAAACTTAAATTGTGTTTTCTGGTTGCTGCCAGGTAATCTGGTGAAATATACTTTACAGAAATACTTCTCTTTTTTGGCTTTCAGAGCTTCTTCACCTGAGGTTTACAGGCCCCCAAAGGGTCTTTGCATAGAATTCAGAGGTTCTGTGAACTTTATTTTCACTAAGCTCTAGCTGAAACATAAGATTTCCTTGGCCTATTAATGTTCACAACACATCCACAGTAGTCTTAGAAGTGTCTGTGGATTTGTCATCAATCAAAATCAGAAATATTTTCATATCACATTATAGTTGTTGATATTTCAGAATATTGTTCATACTTTTTGCTACTTTGAAATCATAGTAATTATTTTAAAAACTGTTAGATCTTATTTAATTTTGCTTGTTAATAAAGAGGAATATTTTTTAAATTTTTTTGATAACTACTTCTTTATAATTTGTTTTCTTTGTTATGTATTTTTTTTATACATTTAAAAATATTCTGAGAAGAGATCTATTCGGAGGCTTCACCAGACTGCTCAAGGGGTTCATGTCACAAAAAGTGTTGGAAACCCCAATTAGTTTGCTACAGAGCTTTATCATTTTTATGAGAATTTTATGATTGGTCAATGGTCATTTTGATTGCATCTGTCACTCTCCGTCAATTTTTTTTTTTTTTTTTTTTTGAGACGGAGTCTCACGCTGTTGCTCAGGCTGGAGTGCAGTGGTGCCATCTCTGCTTGCTGCAACCTCCGCTTCCTGGGTTCAAGCGATTCTCCTGCTTCAGCCTCTCGGGTAGCTGGGACTACAGGCGCGTGCCACCATGCCCAGCTAATTTTTTGTATTTTTAGTAGAGATGAGATTTCACCATATTAGCCAGGATGGTCTCGATCTCCTGACCTCGTGATCCTCCCGCCTTGGCCTCCCAAAGTGCTGGGATTACAGGCATGAGCCACTGCACCTGGCCCCCTCAATTACTTTTTCTAAGCCAACTTTTGAGATTGATACTTTATTTATTTATTTATTTATTTATTTTGAGACGGAGCCTTGCTCTGTTGCCCAGGCTGGCGTACGGTGGCACAATCTCCGCTCACTGCAACCTCTGTCTCGTTCAAGCGATTCTCCTGCCTCAGCTTCCCGAATAGCTGGGATTACACGTGCCTGTCACCACGCCTGGCTACTTTTTGCATTTTTACTAGAAACGGGGTTTCACCATGTTGGCCAGGCTGGTCTTAAACTCCTGACCTCAAGTGATCCACCCACCTCAACCTCCCAAAGTGCTGGGTGGGATTACAGGTGTGAAGCACTGCACCTGGCTCCTTCAGTTTTTTTTATTGTGGCAAGATACATGTAAGATTTACACGACTTAACTATTTTTAGTGTATAGTTCGGTAGTATTAGGTACATTGATATTGTGCAACCATTGCCATCACCTTGTAAAACTAAAGCTCTGTACCCATTAAAACAATAACTCTCCATTTTCCCCAACGCCCAGGAACCGCCATTCTACTCACTGTCTCTATGATTTTGCCTTCTAAGTACCACATATAAGTGGAATAACACAATTTTTTTTTTTTTTTTTTTTTTTTTTTTTTTGAGACGGAGTCTCACGCTGTTGCCCAGGCTGGAGTGCAGTGGCGCGATCTCGGCTCACTGCAAGCTCTGCCTCCCGGGTTCCCGCCATTCTCCTGCCTCAGCCTCCTGAGTAGCTGGGACTACAGGCGCCCGCCACCGCGCCCGGCTAATTTTTTGTATTTTTAGTAGAGACGGGGTTTCACTGTGGTCTCGATCTCCTGACGTTGTGATCCGCCCGCCTCGGCCTCCCAAAGTGCTGGGATTACAGGCTTGAGCCACCGCGCCCGGCGAATAACACAATTTTTAAATAACTTTTTTTTTTTTTGAGACGGAGTCTTCCTTTGTTGCCCAGGCTGGAGTGCAGTGGCACGATCTTGGCTCACTGCAACCTCCACCTCCTGGGTTCAAGCAATTCGCCTGCCTCAGCCTCCTGAGTAGGTGGAATTACAGACACCTGCCAGCACACCCAGCTAATTTTTGTGTTTTTAGTAGACAGGGTTTCACCATGTTGGCTAGCCAGGCTGGTCTCGAACTCTGGGATTATAGGCATGAGCCACCGCACCTTGCCTTAAAGAACATTTGAAGTTTGTTTCCACTGTTACAGATGTTTTTTTTTTTTTTTGAGATGGAGTCTTGCTCTGTCACCTAGGCTGGAGTGTGGTGGCACAACCTCAGTTTGCTGCAACCTTTGCCTCCTGGGTTCAAGCGATTCTCCTGCCTCAACCTCCGGAGTAGCTGGGATTACAGGAACCTACCACCACGCCTGGCTAATTTTTTTTTTTATTTTTAGTAGAGATGGGGTTTCACCATGTTGGCCAGGCTGGTTTTGAACTCCTGACCTCAAGTGATCCGCACACCTCGGCCTCCCAAAATGCCAGGATTACAGCGGTGAGCCACCACACCTGGCCCAGATAGTATTCTTATATAATAACAGACGAGTTGCTGTCAGATGTTTATTCTCATTGGTAGAAATAATAAGAATATAGGGCATAAATGACCTTTTAAAAAATCTTACAGGTGAGGCAGGTGTTGAACTCCCTTCAAACTTTGAAAAAGCCACATATTGTTATGATGTGGTTGATCTTACCTTACTTCTAAAGGACACATACTGAAAGAAACAACTTTATTTATCTAGAATCTTTCAGAGGCTCAGACCTGGCCTGTTTTCGAAAGGACTTTGCCTCTGTTGGTGTCATTATTTTCTCTCAGTTTATACTACTGCTGTGAAAATGATAGCTTTTTCTCAACCTCCTTTATGCTCAAGGAATTTTTGTTTCCAGGGGATTTATTGAGGCATATCTATATTTGATGTAGATTTCCTTTTATTTTCAGGTATTTCTGGTGGTCGCGTTCATATATCAGTTTTAGGAAGGCTTGGGACATTTGAAACTCAGATTCTGCGAAGAGCTCCTCTTAGATCCTTTACAGAAACGCCAGCATACTTTGCTTCAAAAGATGGGATAAGTAAAGATGGTTCTGGAGATGGAAATAAGGTAATTATTTTATCTTATTGGCACCTGTACACATTGTGAGTTCCTTCCTTTAAAAAAATATAATAGTACTGTCTGTTACTGGCTTATGTTTTCTGTAGGCAATATGAGATAGCTAAAATGATCTGAAGAATTTTATGTAATTAGATGTTTCATTTTGAACCTTAAAATACTTTTATAAGCATTGCACATAGTAAGCAGTAATTAAAATTTCTAACACCCCAAAGTAGTAAAGAAGTGTCATTAAATGACTGTTGGTCAGTAGGATTGAATTAGGAATAGCCATCATTTCCTGCTTTCATATAACTCTTACAACTTGTGACAGTATAAACCTCACTTTATCCTCTACCTAAAAATTTCAGATTCGTGGTATAACTTAATGTTGGGCTACTCTGGTAGCCTAAAAATTTCAGATTTCTGGTACAACTTTATGTTGTAGCTAGCAAGTAGATGATTGGTAGTTGTATTGAGTGAGTCAGTGACTTACCAGTTTTTTTCATGATGTGAATTTGACTAACACTTGAGTTAATCTTATATGTTAGACAAAATGTGAGGCACTTACATATCCATACTTAATCTTAACAGTGACTCTCTGATGTGGGTAAAATTATTCCCATTTTAGAGATGAGAAAAGTTAGATCTAAGAATAATCAGAGTCACTACCTACCATGATAATAACTCCTGATTCAATTTCATTGAAATGTAGTTTTTTTTCCCTTAGTAAATTTCTAGTGCCTGAGTCATTGAATGAAAACTCTTTATTATATATGTTGGCACATGTTGTATAAAAGAAGACTACAGATATACATGCATTTACTAGAACTGATTTGATTTTTGAAGTAAATAGATCTTCTGACATCAGAAATAGTAGAATTATATTAATAATTTCATCCTAGAAATTTAGAAAATTATAAAATTAATTACAAACAGTATTGTTTATATTTAAGTTGGTTGCCTGAAACTAATAATTGACACTTTTTCTTTTTTCTCCTTCATAAACATTAGAAATCAGCAAGTGAGGGAAGTAGTAAGAAATCAGGCTCTGGGAATTCTGGGAAAGGTGGAAATCAGCTGCGCTGTCCTAAATGTGGCGACTTGTGCACACATGTAGAGACCTTTGTGTGTAAGTATTACATCTTCTTCTGCTCTTTTTTCCCTACATTTTCTATGAATTATTAAATGTATAAAAATATGTAAATTATGTAAAATTTATAAATACAGGCCAGGCACAAATGGCTCATGCCTGTAATCCCAGCACTTTGGAAGGTGGAGATGGGAGGATCCCTTGAGCCTAGGAGTTCGAGACCTGCCTGGGCAACATGTTGAGACACCTGTCTTTACAAGAAAAAAAAAAAAGGCCAGATATCTGGTGGTGCATACCTGTAGTCATAATCATGCCACTGTACCCCATCCTGGGTGACAGAGACCTTGTCTCCAAAAATATATATATATATGTATGTATATATATAAAATATATATAAATTGTATTAAATGTGTAGAAATATGGATTATATGAAATAGATAAATAAATGTGATTTTGTATGTTATATGAATTATATATAAATTGTATGAGCTCACCTGATTCTCTCTCATGTTCACCGTATACTAGAAAATTCTCAGGACTGGTAATACTTTGCACTGTTGTGTAAGAGATAATTTAAGAAAAATATTTGCTTCTTTATTTTGCTTAATTGTGTTTATTTCAGATTGGATTTTGTGAATTTCTGGGTGTGATCATTAGGCTATAGGAGAACCAGGACTTATTTATTCTGTATTTATTACTACATTCTTCAAATACATATTGAGTATCACATGGCTGGGAAGGCTAGTCATTCATATATTAAGGTAAATTCCCTTAGTACTTACTAAAGGAGGTAAGCCCTCAATTCTGGGAAGCATCTGATAATTATTAATGATTCAGACACTCGGAGAAGGAAGAAATCAGGGCTGGGCACTGTGACTCACACCTGTAATCCCAGCACTTTTGGAGTCTGAGGTAGGCAGATTGCTTGAGCCCAGAAGTTCAAAACCAGCCTGAGCAACATGGCAAAACTCCATATGTATTAAAAAAAATTAAAAAATTAGCCAGGCCTGGTGGTGCATGGCTATAGTTCCAGCTACTTAGGGACTGAGATAATGAAGATCGCTTGAGTCCAGGAGGTGAGGCTGCAGCAAGCCAGCCATTGAACTCCAGCTTGGTGACAAAGCAAGACCCTGTCTCAAAAAAAGAAAAAAAGAAGAAGGGAAAAAATCAACTGCCCTACTTTTGCTGTTAGCGTCAGTAACTCTCTGAAATGCAAAGATTCTCCTACAGATATTTTCATCAATGAATCAAATAATCAAAAAACTCATTACTTACATGACTTAGAGTTAGTGGTAATGAATTGTACCACCATGTCAGCCTTCCTCTACAATCCAATTGAAGAAAACTTCAAGATTATAAGACTTCAGTGTCTGATGGTTGGCTAGAGGGTATTCTCTATCTCCTAATCCTAATATTGAGACTTTGGTTACAATTTCACACTTACCATTAACAGTAATTGGCCACCATATGAAAAGGTACTAGATGTAGTATGTTTTTATGTACTGGAAAGACTTAAAGTAGCTCCATCCCATAGCTGGAATATTAGGGGTTCTGAACAAAATTTAATTTGGATCACAACGTAAAATGAAAGTGGGCTGGGCACAGTGACTCACACCAGTAATCACAGGACTTTGGGAGTCCGAAGCAGGCTGCTCACTTGAGGTCAGGAGTTTGAGACCAGCCTGCTCAACATGGTGAAACCCCATCTCTACTAAAAATACAAAAATTAACCGGGCATAGTGGCGTGCATCTGAAGTCCCAGCTGTTTGGGAGGCTGAGACCGGAGAATCGCTTGAACCTGGGAGGTGGAGGTCCTGGTGAGCCAAAATCACACCGCTGCACTCCTCCAGCCTGGGCAACAGAGCAAAACTCCATCTCAAAAAAAAAAAAAAAAATGGTAGAACTGGATGATAAAACCTTCTAAACAAATTTGATGTGATATAATAAAATTATACAGAGGCTGAAAATTGCTTAATTTATGAGGTCAGTGTCTCCTATTTTAACCAAGAAATTTTCCTCCTTTTTTTTCTTCAAAGAAACATTTCAACGTTTACAGACCTAAAGAATACTTTCTTGCCAGGCGTGGTGGCTTACGCCTGTAATCCCAGCACTTTGGGAGCCTGAGGTAGGCAGATCACCTGAGGTCAGGCGTTGGAGACCAGCCTGGCCAATGTGGTGAAACCCCATCTCTACTAAAAATACAAAATTAGCTGGGCGTGGTGGTGGGCACCTATAATCCCAGCTACTTGGGAAGCTGAGGCATGAGAATTGCTTGAACCCAGGAGGCAGAGGCTACAGTGAGCCGAGATCACACCACTGTACTCTAGCCTGGGAAACGAGTGAAACTCTGTCTCCAAAAAAGAAAAAAGAATAATTTCTTAGAGTAGAAAAGGAAAGAAACTAGTATTTAATAAATGCCAACATATATAGTTTTGTTCTTGGAACCTTAATTTTGCCAGAACAAAGAGTATTCTCCTTTTTATAAATGAAGAAACTGAGATTTAGCAAGTTTAAGTAACTCATTCAAGGTCACATAGCAGTGAAGATTTGCTATTCAGAAATTCCTATATCATACATTTCTACCATCTGGAGATTCTTTATTGGTAAACTAGCTCCTCTTGGGATTAAATTTATTTTTCTTCTATGCATTCTTTCCAAAACTTGCCAGGTTGTATTAGTCACTAAAGGTGACTGTTAAACTTAGAGATTTCCAAACTCCTTCCCTAGAGATTAAGATTCTGTAGATGTGGGATGGGGTCCTAGAATCTGTATATTAGTAGTATCTGTGTATTATTAGTTAGACCAAGTGTGGAAATACTATAGTGTAATCAGTTCAAGGCTGAGGCCTGTTTGCTTTGAGAATTCTAATTGGGGGTGGTGATATGGGAGTAGAAAATGTGGAAGGGAAGAAAAAAAAAGCACACACTTAAACTTACAAAATTAATAAGCAAATGTGTTGATTCAGACATCGCTAGGCTCAGAAAATATGCAGATGATCATGACACCGTCCCTGTCCTCTGTAACTATTTGTAGGCCCTAGCAGTGCAGTAAGCCCCTCCTCCCTTAGTTTTGCATACCCATATTAAAAGTCTTTTCAGAATGCATCCTTTTGAATCCTTCTGTGTCTGATCATTAAAAGTTGGGTCTTCACAGTACTAAAGAGAGTTTTATTTGATCTCAGGTTACTAACAGGTTGAGCTTCCATAGTCTGAAAATCTGGAGTTCAAAATGCTCCAAAATCCTAAACTTGTGAGTGCATCATGATGCTTAAAGGAAATGCTCCATTGGAGCATTTCAGATTTCAGATTTCATGTAGGGGTGCTTAACCAGTGTATTTCTGCAAATATTCCAAAACTTGAAAACATTTGAACTCTGAAACACTTCTGGTCTTATGCATTTTGGTTAAGGGATACTCAGCCTGCTTTTTTGTTTGTTTTTTGTTTTTATTATTTTTTTGAGACAGTTTTGCTGTTCTCACCCAGGCTGGAGTGCAGTGGCACGATCTCGGCTCACTGCAACTTCTGCCACCTGGATTCAAGTGCCAGCCCCAGGTGCCTCAGCCTCAGCCTCCCAAGTAGCTGGGATTACAGGTGCCCACCACCATGCCAGGCTAATTTTTGTGTTTTTGGTAGAGATAGGGTTTCACCTTGTTGACCAGGCTGGTCTGGAATTCCTGACCTCAGGTGATTCAGCCGCCTAAGCCTCCCAAAGTGCTGGCATTACAGGTATGAGCCACCATGCCCGGCCTGCATTTTGTTTAAGTCTGTATTTATTTGGATACTAGTTCGTAAACATCTTTTTATATGCTTTTTGGTCACTTGTGATTCTTTCGTGAATGGCCTGTTTAGGTAATTGTCTAGTTTTTTATTTTATTTTATTTTTTTTTTTTGAGACAGAGTCTCGCTCTGTCTCCCAGGCTGGAGTGCAGTGGCGCCATCTCGGCTCACTGCAAGCTCCGCCTTCCAGGTTTACGCCATTCTCCTGCCTCAGCCTCCCCATTCTCCTGCCTCAGCCTCCCGAGTAGCTGGGACTACAGGTGCCTGCCACCTCGCCCGGCTAGTTTTTTTTTGTTCTGTTTTGTTTTTTTTGTATTTTTTAGTAGAGATGGGGTTTCACCATGTTAGCCAGGATGGTCTCGATCTCCTGACCTCGTGATCCGCCCGTCTCAGCCTCCCAAAGTGCTGGGATTACAGGCTTGAGCCACCGTGCCCGGCCTACTTTTTTGTATTTTTAATTACTTGAGGAATGCATATATCCGTCCTTCTTTATGAGAAAAGAATAGACCCTTATAGATGGAGGTAAAGTTCTATAACATATCTTCATTGAACATGTGATTGTTTTTAAAAGTATAAATAACATATTCATATTTTCGCAAATTGCTTGTTTTCACTACGCAATGTTTTGAGAGCTGTGTATGTTAATGCAGTTGACTCTTGAACAGTGGGTTTGAATTGCTCGGGCCCACTTATACCTAGCTTTTTTTTGGCCAGACACATATGGCCAGCATATATGAGGAGCTAACGTCATATATGTGGGTTCCACAGGGCCAACTGCAGGACCTGAGTATGCATGGATTTGGTTATATGTGGGTGGTCCTAGAACTAGTCTCCTACGTGTGCCATGGGACAGCTGTACATGTGGGCCTAGTCCTTTCCTTTATTTGAGATATCATCATTCATATACCATGCAATTCATCTTCAGTGGTTTTAAAATATTTACCAAGTTGTGGCCCGGCATGGTGGCTCACATCTGTAATCCCAGCACTTTGAGAGGCCGAGGCGGGCAGATCACGAGGTCAGGAGTTCGAGACCAGCCTGACCAACATAGTGAAACCCCATCTCTACTAAAAATACAAAAATTAGCCGGACTTGGTAGCAACCATTTGTAATCCCAGCTGCTTCGGAGGCTGAGACAGGAGAATTGCTTGAACCCGGGAGGCAGAGGTTGCAGTGAACCTAGATCATGCCACTGCACTCCAGCCTGGGTGACAGAGCAAGACTCTGTCTCAAAAAAAAAAAAAAAAAGGCCAGGAGCAGTGG